ATGGAATGATGGAATTGTTTTTTTTATCTATTTTTACTTTGTATTTTTCTTTTTTCTTTTTTCATTTTGTAAAATTCTAATAAATATCTTTTTTAAAAAAATAAATAAAATTATTATTATTATAATCTCATTTTTGTAAATATGGCTTTTCTTTTCTTTTATTTATGATTTTCAATTTTATACACTTCAATAAATTTACAATCATTTTAACATTTCTTCCTTCTCCCTCTTTCTGCAGTTCCTTCCATTTATTTTTTACATTTTCTGCATACAGTCATACCTCGGGTTACAGATGCTTCAGGTCGCGCACCGTGCCAAACCCGGAAGTACCGGAACAGGTTACCTCCGGGTTTCGGAGGGACTAAATCGTGCTTTGCGCATGCACAGAGGCGCTGAATCGCGACATGCGCGTGTGCAGACACGGCGCCGCGGGTTGCGAATGCTGCGGGTTGCGAACGTCCCTCCTGCACGGATCACGTTCACAACCCGAGCATCCACTGTATTCCAAATTAACTTAACTTATTCATTTATTCATCTACTTTAAATATATATTCTTATAAAACCAGGTTATTACAATAATCCTGCCTATGTTCATATCTGTTTACAGTGTGATTGTAAATATTCAACAAACCATTTCCATTCTTTTATAAACAGTTTGCTATCTTGATTTCCTATTCTTCCGTTAAGTTTTGCCATTTCTGCGTATTCCCTAGGTTTTTGAATCCATTCTTTTGCTTCTTTTCACTTTTGGGCGAGTGACATTCTTGCTGCTGTTGTCGCATACATAAATAAATTTCTATACCTTTTAGGTAGTTCTGTCTTTATAATTCCCAAAAGAAAAGCTTCTGGTGTTTTTTTACAAAGTTTATTTTAAATATCCTTTTCAATTCATAATGCATCATTTCCCAGTAAGCTTTAACCTTACTACAAGACCACCCCATATGATAAAAAGAACCTTCTTTCTCTTGCCAATGTGGCTTTTGAATCACCACTACCTAAAAGGGATGGAGATTTTTCAGCTCACCACCTGTAAAAATGGGTACTGGCCTCTCCCTCACAAGATCTTTGGGAAGAAAAATCATACGAGTCCACAAAGCACTCTGGAAACTGAAAGGATCCTTGACAAGGGATTTAAAGTACTACTAGAGATGGTTATCAGGCTCTTGACTTCAACCATTGCCCAGTTGCTAAGAGAACTCCAGAATGGCCTCACCCTTGGACTGACGACAGATTTCCTGTCTAATAATTTATCCACCCACCTGCAGAGTTTGAACTTTGGTTTCCTGGAGGCTGACAGCTCGCTTGAGGTCAGTCCAATAAAGCAGGGGAAATCGGGCAGCAGTTGGAAGTTCAAGGCCAGGGCTGGGGACCCGTCTTCAGCTCAAGGGCCGTGTGTCAATAGTGGGTGGAGCCAGAGGCAAAAGTGGGTGGGGCAATAAAAAAGAGATGTTTACCTGTGTGCAGTAAGGTAAAGGTAAATGGACCCTTGACCATTAGATCCAGTTGCAGACGACTCTAGGGTTGTGGCGCTCATCTCGCTTTATTGTCTGAGGGAGCCGGCGTACAGCTTCCGGGTCATGTGGCCAGCATGACTAAGCCGCTTCTGGCGAACCAGAGCAGCGTACGGAAACGCCGTTCACCTTCCTGCCAGAGCAGTACCTATTTATCTACTTGCACTTTGGTTGTCAGGAGCAGGGACCAAGCAACAGGAGCTCACCCCGTCGCGGGGATTTGAACTGCCAACCTTCTGATCGGCAACTCCTAAGCTCTGTGGTTTAACCCACAGCGCCACCCGCATCAATGGTGGGTGGAGCCAGAGGCGAAAGTGGGTGGGGCAATAAAAAAGAGATGTTTACCTGTGTGCAGTAGGCACAGGCAAAACAACCCTCTCTATCGTCTGATCCAGTGGTTCTCAAAGGGAGTGGAGTGCCACATTGGTGTGGCAGGGAGAGTCAAGGATAAGAAACATTCAAATATTTAGATGTAGTATAGCATAGCATTCTTCTACAGTTCTCCATGTCATATTGTTGTGAACAGGGACTTTCAACTCTGACCAATCTGAAAGATTAGAAAAGAGAAAGGCTTCTTTGTGTAGATGAAGAAAGTTTACAGTGGTGCCTCGCAAGATGAAATTAATCCGTTAGTCCGTTCCGCGAGTCTCTTCGTCTTGCGGTTTTTTCGTCTTGCGAAGCACGGCTATTAGCGGCTATTAACGGCTTAGCGGCTATTAACGGCTTAGCGGCTTTAAGAAAAAGGAAACAAACTCGCAAGAACTTGCAAGACGTTTCGACTTGCGAAGCAAGCCCATAGGGAAATTCCTCTTGCGGAACGACTCAAAAAACGGAAAACCCTTTCGTCTAGCGAGTTTTTCGTCTTGCGAGGCATTCGTCTTGCGGGGCACCACTGTATTTGTCTCAAATTAGACCTAATATAATGAGATTATCCGGCAAAAAAGCAAGCTCACTCACACCTCTCATTGAGTATGTATGCATATTGAAGGTACATACGTAAGAGGCTTGGTTATAATTCTATTTTGGGAATGATTCATGTTCTTATGTAGTTGCATCGTTTTATGCCCCATGATTGTATTCTAAAGAAGGTGTTCTGCGTTGTAAATCAAGCACTGCTAGTTGTTGTTCCTTTTTGTTTTCCCATGTATTGCTAATTTTTGTTCTGAGAACTACTGCTCTGACTAGACAAAGAAGCAGATTATCAGAGTTCAGAGACACCCTCCATCTAAGCACAGAAAGACCCCCATTTGTGTTGGCTCACTCACCCTGAAGTCCCGAAGTTTCAGTCGCCCGTTGGGGGCAGGAAAAAAAGTGTCCGTCTGAAGAATGACACAGCCTGGGGATCCGCTCAGCCGCTCAGCGTTCCTTAGTAGCTCAGCCCGGTCCCGAATCCGCGCCTTGATCTCCACGTTTGCGGGCATCTGGAAGAAAACAGCGAAGTTCAAAAGAGGCAAATAAGATTATCCAGTGCAGGTGCTTTCAAGGTCCTGGGAAACTCTTTGCAAATCCTTGCACACCAAGGTGTCCCCACTACCCAAACCACAGGTCTGCCACGGAACCAGCATTGCAGAGAATTCTCTCATTGTATGCAGGGAGCTGGTCAGTTTCCCTGTTGCTCCAAGGCAGGTGAGTTTGGCAAAATCACCCTCTGGCTACGAACCTTAGGAACCTCAGGGGGAAGAATTTATATATATAAAAAGATTTGAATACTGCTATATTGTAAAATTGGATGCGGGTGGTGCTGTGGGCCTAGGATTTGCTGATCAGAAGGTCGGCGGTTCGAATCCTCATGAGGAAGCTTCCCTCCATGTCATAGGCTTTATTTTATACACTTCTCTCGTGTCGCCTCTTACTCGCCCCTTCCCCTAAACTGTTTTCAGAGGCAGGTGCTGCGTCTTCCCCTCCAGCCATGGGCTTTGAGGGCCAGAATACCTGGCCGACCCCAGATGTTGCCCTCCACCAATGCCAAATTTACGTATAAGCTAAACAAGCTATAGCTTAGGGCCGCACTCTCTTGGGGGCCCAAAAAAAATTTAAAGGAAAAAAACCCTGGATGTACATTTCCAAAACATAAGATAAAAAAACAAATAAAATAAAACCTACATACAGCAACTGTGTTTTGTGTTGTGTAGGCTCCTCTGGTGTAAGTCACAGGCCCCGCCTGCACGCCTGCTCCCTCAAATATCACTGCTTTGCTCCTTTCTATATATAGGGTGCCTGGGGACGCGGGTGGCGCTGTGGGTTAAAGCCTCAGCGCCTAGGACTTGCCGATCGAAAGGTCGGCGGTTCGAATCCCCGCGACGGAGTGAGCTCCTGTTGTTCGGTCCCAGCGCCTGCCAACCTAGCAGTTCGAAAGCACCTCCGGGTGCAAGTAGATAAATAGGGATCGCTTACTGGCGGGAAGGTAAACGGCGTTCCGTGTGCTGTGCTGGCTCGCCAGATGCAGCTTGTCACGCTGGCCACGTGACCCGGAAGTGTCTCCGGACAGCGCTGGCCCCCGGCCTCTTGAGTGAGATGGGCACACAACCCTAGAGTCTGGCAAGACTGGCCCGGACGGGCAGGGGTACCTTTACCTTTTTATATATAGGGTGTCTACATTCTGCTCTTTATAATTATTAGTTTACATCATATGTTTACAACTATTATTATTTCATGTTATAGCAAAGTTTCTAGAGACTAGATTACGAGTCTTTGTAAATTGTGTTTCGAAATGAACTTTTGCTATTGCCAAATGCCAATGTGTTTGCATTATTAAGTTTGGTATGAATAGAAAACCATTTTAAGCTAGAGCTTAATAATTATTTCACTATTAATATACTTCTTCTTAATTGTATTTCAGTTCAACAATCACTTTGATAAAAAAACATATTTTGTTATGTGCAAATGGCTTGAGATACCCATGAGGTCCATAAATGACCATCTAGCATATACTGAACACAAAAAACAGCGGCAATTTCTTGTTGGCAAAGGACAGCTGGACATGACCTTCAGGAGCTGAGGGCCTCATCCAACCTCAATCCGGCCCTGCCCCCCCACCTCACCCCATGCTCTATATCTCAAGCACTGGGGTTGCAGAAGCTGAACCCACCGTCAGTCCCAGAAGCTTGGCCGGAGCCCCCAAGCCCGACCCCGACCCGCCTGCGCGTTCCCACAAGCACTCGAACACGTGTCTCCCGCGCCTAGGCTTCCCTTCTCCCTGACCGCTGTGATTGGCCCCCCGCTCCAGAGGCGGGTCTGGAGCGGCGGCTCCGGATTGGCCGCGGGGTCGCGGGGTGGGGTCTCACCAAGGCCGCGCCCACCGCTCCGTCAGCAGCTCCGTCGACGTTGACGCCGCGAGAGGCCAATCAAGGAGAACCGCGCGGCGAATGAGAGCGAAAGGAGCCGGGAAGGGGCCGTCCAAGCGACGGAGAGGCGATTGGGCGGGCCGGGGCCCGGTGGGTGGGGCGAAGGCCCGGCGCGCCCGCCATTGGCCGAGGCGCTGAGGCGAGCGGCGCTCTGATTGGCGGGCTCCGGCCAGCGCAGGCGAGCGGGCCGCGGGATGGAGTCGCCTGAGGGAAACGGGTCCGGAGGGGACTTCGCCGTGCCCAGCTCGCCCCGGGGCTCCCCGGCCGTGCCCGGGCCCACGCGCCTCCGCGCCTTCCTCTGGTGCCGGGAGTTCCTGGCCGGCGCTTGGCGCTGCCTGGCGGCGCCCGAAGACCTCGGCATCGTCCCCGTCAGGTGAGCCCCGCCCCCACCGCCGTAATGCGACGAAGAGCCGCGCCGCGCCGGGTGACGTCAGCCTCTCTTCTCGCCGCTTCTGCCGTAGAGCGTGGAATAGCGGCGCACCGGATTTCCAGCTCTGGGCTTCAGACAGGGAGCGCGGTTCGAATCTCGCCCGTGAACCAACCTCGCAGGGTTGCTATGTGTGTATGGGGGGTGTGTGAAATGGGGCTAGAACCTCAGGCTGGCCAACCTCGCAGGGTTGGCGTGGGGTGAAATGGGCAGTGCGGTGCAATGGTTAGAGCGCTGGACCAGGACCTAGGAGGGAGCTGGGCTTGATGCCATGAACCTTGGGGGCCGGGCCTACCTGGAAGGGTTGGCATGGGGGTGAAATGGGGAGGAGAGGCAGTGTGGTGCAATGGTTAGAGCGCTGGGCTAGGACCTGGGAGGGGGGGGGCTTGATGCCATGAACCTTGGGGGCCAGGCAGCACCTCTCACAGCCTAGCCTACCTGGAAGGGTTGGCGTGGGGTGAAATGGGGAGGAGAGGCAGTGCAGCACAGTGGTTAGAGCGCTGGACCAGGACCTGGGAGAGAGCAGGGCTTGATGCCATGAACCTTGGGGGCCAGGCACCACCTCTCCCAGCCTAGCCTACCTGGAAGGGTTGGCATGGGGGTTCAAATGAAGACTAGGATCTGGGGGGAAACAAGTTCTGCCTCTCGGCCATAGGGTGGCCTTGGGGGCTGGTCACTGCCTCTCAGTAACCTACCTGGCAGGGCTGTTGGGGGGGGAGGTTAAATGGGGAGGAGAGGCAGTGCTGTGTAATGGTTAAGAATGTCAGAATAGAACCTCAGACAGATCAGGGTTCGAATCCCCTCAACTCTGCCATGAAGCTCCCTGTGTGGGCCAGTCGCTGTCTTCCGTCAGCCTGACCTACCTCACAGGGTTCTTGTGTGGTTTCGCAAACTTGCTTCCCCCTGCTCAGGTGAGTAGGACCCAACCAGTGGCTTCAAGTTCCAAGAAACGAGAACCCTGACTTAATACACCTGGAAGAAGAAACCTTATTCTGGCAAGAGCTGTTTGGAAGTGGGATCTCGCTGGAGGTTTTTTAAGCGGAGGTTGGGTGGCTGATCTGCCAGGGATTCTCAAACAGAGCCATCCAACCACCTTTCCAGGAAGGAGAGCCCAGCATCTCCAGAGAGAGCCCGTTCCCTTGTCAAACATCTCTTGCCGCCGGCAAGCTCTTCCTGATGTTGAGCCGGAATCTCCTATCTTGTAACTTGAAGCCGTTGCTCCTTGTAACCTTGCTCCATCTTCCACGTCACAGCCCTTCAGATATTTGAAGCCGTAGGCCCTTGCAATTACGTCCCTGTATATATAAAAAAAGGTAAAGGTACCCCTGCCCGTACGGGCCAGTCTTGACAGACTCTGGGGTTTGTGCGCCCATCTCACTCAAGAGGCCGGGGGCCAGCGCTGTCCGGAGACATTTCCGGGTCACGTGGCCAGCGTGACAAAGCTGCATCTGGCGAGCCAGCGCAGCACACGAAAACGCCGTTTACCTTCCCGCCAGTAAGCGGTCCCTATTTATCTACTTGCACCCGGGAGTGCTTTCGAACTGCTAGGTTGGCAGGCGCTGGGACCGAGCAACAGGAGCGCACCCCGCCGCGGGGATTCGAACCGCCGACCTTTCGATCGGCAAGCCCTAGGCGCTGAGGCTTTAACCCACAGCGCCACCCACGTCCCTGTATATATAGAGAGATATAAATCCCCCTGTCCTGCTTCTTTAATATTTTAATGTTGTACTTTAATCTTGTTTTTTAAGTTGTATTTCAATCAACTTGTTTTTATTATCGGTTGTTAGCCGCCCTGAGCCTGGGGAGGGCGGGGTATAAATAAAATTTATTATTATTATATTATTATTCTTTGCTGCTGCTGCTGCTGCTGCTCTTGCAGCTGGACAGCTCAGCTCTCTGGAAAATGACTCACTTCTTCCTTGCAGGCTCTGCGCCTTTCCTGCCCCCAGAGGAGGAAGGGTGTGGGTCAGTAGTTCCTTTCTGCTGTGGGATGTGCCACAGCAAGCCTACAGGTCATCATCTCCTTCACAAGGCATTCCAGGAATGCTTCTCACACTGCCAGAGCCCTGCCCAGCACAGAGCATGGCTGGGAGAGGCTGGGGTGGGAGCTGCCAGTGAGACTGGCAAACAACAGGGCAGTGAAGGAGGGCAGAACATCTTCTAGGGAGTAGCTAAAATTGGCATTTTGTTGCCCGCACAGTGGAGACGACTTTTCCTTTCCCCCCCTTTTTTATTTTATTAACATATAAAACACATACATATACATTTACACAACACACTACCTAATTTTCATAGCATAAAACATAAGGATCCGAGCCCAGGAGCGACTCTCCCCTAATGCGTCTTCCAGCAACTGGGATTCAGAAACATCGCTGCCTCCAGCTGTAGAGGCAGTGCTGAGCCATTGTGTCAAGCAGCCACTGGTAATGTTCTCCCAGTGCCCTACCCACAACTGGGGCAGTCGAGCCTGCAGCTTTCATTTTTTTAATATACAGTGGATGCATCTGTGCGGTTTGCGATTTGGCACTTCTGCGCATGCGCAAAGCGCGATTTAGCGCTTCTGCGTATACACAACCGCCGAAACACGGAAGTAACCCGTTTTGGTACTTACGGGTTTTAGCGGTCCGCAACCCGAAAAAATGCAACCTGAAGCATCTGTAACCCGAGGTATGACTGTATCTGACTTTTAGAAGACACCTGAAGGCAGCCCTGTTTAGGGTCGTTTTTAATGTTTGATGTTTTATTGTGTTTTTAATATTCTGTTAGGAGCTGCCCAGAGTGGCTGGAGAGGTCTGGCCAGATGGGCAAGGTAGAAGTAATAAATTACTACTACTACTACAGGTTTTTTGTTGGGGCATCTGCTTGGCCCTTGTGAGAGCAGGATGCTTGCCTAGGTGGGCGATTGGCCTGATCCAGGAGGCTCTTCTGGCATTATTAAAGTCTGAACATGAGCACACAGACACTTGGGAGGGGGGGTGTTTGACCTCCTGAGGAAGGAGGTTATTGCTGGCTTACCTGCCTGGAGGCTCTTCCTCCCTGCCAGTTCTGCTGTTCTTCCATCTCCACCTGCCCTCCCTGTTTCTGACTCTTCCTCCCCTCCTGGGTTGTGCTTTCTCCACAGTGGGGGGCTGAGCAACCTCCTCTACAAGTGCACCCTCCCGGATCACATTGTGACTGCGGAAGATGAGCCACGTCAGGTTCTGCTGCGTATCTACGGAGTCATCCTCCAGGTGAGATCTTCTGGTCCCCCACACCTTTGTGTGGCCTTCTCTGTGCTGGCTCCCCAGGGGCTGAAGGGGAACCAATGTAGCGCCGACAGCACCTTGCGGGAAACTTTAGTCAAGAGCAGGGAGGTGTCTAAATGCAGCCCTGCCCCTCATTTGAAGATCCAGCAAGAAATGGGCTCTCGTCTGCAATTTGCACTCCTACCCCAGATGGGGTCTTGTGTGGATACTGGCCCTCTTCTGCTTTTTACCACCGGGGGCAGCCTGGGTGGGCGGGTCTCAATCCTCCTCCAGTTCTGGTTGCAAAGGAGCAGCTCTCCTGGTTAGCATAAAGAGCAGAAGTTGAAGCTTGTTCAGGGATTGGGGATGCCTCCCACAAGAGCAGTGTTAGAAATTAGCCAGGCGCCAGGCGCATTTTGCAACTGCATCTGCAACCACATGGGAATCTCTATATGCCTGGTAGGCGACTAAGGAAAGCAAAATGTCACTTAGAGAAGGATCTGAAATATTTTCCTTGAAGCTTGAACCTCAGGTTATGACGGGAATCCGCTCCAGAGGCCCCACCGCAACCCGAAAGTGACGCAACCCAAAGCGTCACGTTTGCGCACACGCAATATTGCACTTCTGTGCGAGCAACGCGAACCTGGAAGTAACCCGTTCCGGTACTTCCAGGTTTGTGCCGGTCTTTTAGAAGACATCTGAAGGCAGCCCTGTTTAGGGAAGCTTTTAATGTTTGATGTATTACAGTATTTTAATATTTTGTTGGAAGCCACTCAGAGTGGCTGGGGAAGCCCAGCCAGATGGGCAGGGTATAAATAATAAATTATTATTATTATTATTATTATTATTATTATTATTAAGCCGAGGGTGACATAAGCCGGATGCAATGTAACCCGAGGCTCCACTGTATTCTGGATTTTTTAAATTTGATGCTTTGAGGTATTGTAAACCGCTTTGAGGTTTTTTATTTAAAATATAAAATAATGAAAATAATAAGAATAAGAATAACAAACAACTCCAAAAAGCAAAATAAGGCACCTAGACATTCCATTGTGGCAGCCATAACCTAGGTTTTAAGTGCTATTTGGTGATTAGATTATAATGGCCGCCAACCTAGGTGGATTTTTGAAGAGGATTAGATAGATTCCTGGAGGAGGAGAGGGCTATCATTAGCTACCGGCCAGGATGGCTCTGTTATGCCATCCATACCTGGAGGAAGGAATGCTTCTGAATCCCAGTTACTTGAAACCGCAGGAATGGAAAGTGCTGCTCTGGTGCTTGAATCCGGCTTGCAGGTTTTCCCAAAGAGGCATTTGGTCAGCCACTGTGAGAACAGGATGCTGGACCCGATGGGCCATTGGCTTGATCCAGAAGGCTCTTCTTCTGTTCTTGGGCCACTTCAGGGTCTCGTTTGTGGCCAGCCTGATCTCGAATCCTTTTTGCCTCCTCTGTCCCTCTGGGGCCAAGGTTTGGAGGCCCCACAATTCTGCTGCCTTCCTTGCTGAGGCCATTTGACTGTCAAATGACTGTCACGGTCCCTTCCAACTCTACACTTCTATGCTTTCCACGTCTTTCTCTGCCAGGGCTGTGCCAGGGCCCTCTTTCTTCGGGGGGGGGGGGGCAAGGGCAGAATCTGACCCCATCGCCTTTCTCTCTCCCGCAGGGAGTCGACTCGCTGGTTCTCGAGAGTGTCATGTTTGCCATCCTGGCCGAGCGGATGCTGGGACCGCGACTCTACGGCATCTTCCCCCAGGGGCGCCTGGAGGAATATATCCCGGTGGGTTGTTGGCTGTGCCCCGGATCAGTGGTTCGTGGGGTGGGCGGGATTACCTGAGGGGCTGGCAGAAGGAATACGGGAGGTGTAAATGGCTTTCAGAATTGGAAAAGCTGGCTCAAGTCAGGGATGATGGGAATTGTAGTCTCAAAACATCTGGAGGGCCGAGTTTAAGGAAACCTGAACTAAATAGTTTTAATTGGGCTTTGAATAAATGCAATTAATTGTTTCCACTTTGAATTTCATAATAATAATAATAATAATAATAATATCCTGCCCTCCCCAGCCAAAGCTGGGCTCAGAGCGGCTAACAACAGTAAAAATAACACAGTTTACATAAAATCACAATCAATTAATTGAAATACATTCTAACATCAATTCATTCTAAAATCAGTTCAGAGTCAAATTAATGGCAACCATTGGGCTAGAGTTCTATGAGGATTACAGGAGGGGGTGAGACTGTGCCTTGGCCAAAGGCCTGGTCGAACAGCTCTGTCCGCAGGCCCTGCGGAAAGATGTCAAGTCCCGCAGGGCCCTAGTCTCTTGTTCCACCACGTCGGGACCACGGCTGATAAAGCCCTGGCTCTGGTTGAGGCCAGCCTAACCTCCCTGTGGCCCGGGATCTCCAAGATGTTTTTATTTGAATACTGTAAGGTCTTCCGTGGGACATACCAGGAGAGGTAGTCCTATAGGTATGAGGGTCCTAGGCCGTATAGGGCTTTAAAGGTTAAAACCAGCACCTTAAACCTGATCCTGTACTCCACCGGGAGCCAGTGTCATATTATCTTCCTTAATGGGTTGTGCAAGCTGCTATTCGGAGTAATGCTTTGTACAGGTTGGCTGTCCAGTTTTATCAGCACAGCAGCCCTGTGAGACAGGCTAGTCCACTTGTGGATGTTGCCAGTATGCAGTCATTGGAACCTGGGTCCGAACCAATGCCCTCCTTCATTTTCTGGCTGTGGTTTAGTGGCTCCAGACACGCACACCCAACTTTCCTCCCACCTGTGATATGGACTCTCAAAAGATGTTTTCTTGCCTGCTGTTTCTGCGCTCTGTTGCGCAGGGGTCCCCACACCTCTGGGGCAGGTCCCATGGAGCTATTGCTAGCAGCAGGAATTGGTTTCCGTTGGGTGGGAGAGGAAGAGGCTCTCATGCCGCCCGTGTCTCTTTCCCGCAGAGCCGCCGCCTGACCACGGAGGACTTGCCCGACCCCAGCATCTCGGGGGAGATCGCCACGAAGATGGCTCGCTTCCACGAGATGGTGATGCCCTTCAATAAGCAGCCCAAGTGGATGTTCGGGACGATGGAGAAGTAAGGCTCCTTGCGCTTTTGAAAGCTGCAGGCTAGAAAACCAGAACCCTTTCTCCTAGGTATCATGTCAGAGGAAATAAAAAGAACGGTCAGACCAATATTTATGTATGCAACTACTGCGGCAGGGTTATTGATTGCCAAAAATTGGAAAAGCAGCAGCGTCCCAACTAAAACAGACTGGTTATCTAAAATGATGGAATACTTCCATATTGCCAAACTAACAGGGAGGATAAGAGGAGATATGGTACAAAAAGTGAATAAGGAGTGGGCTATCTTTAAGGAATACGTCAACATTTATGTGGGAAAAGTAGAATTTCTGACAGATACTGAGTGAATCCAGAAAATGATTAGAGTGAAAGGAGAGTAAAGTCAAGACAGAAGAAGAGATTAAAGAAATAACGAAATGTGTTTAGGCTACTTGGAAAAGTAAAGTAGCGTAACAAGAACGGCTAGAAGTCAAGTCACTTGGTGGGTGTCCGTGTGGGGTAGGGGTGTAGGTAGGTTGATATGTACAGTATAAAAGGTAAAGGGACCCCTGACCACTAGGTCCAGTCGTGGCCGACTCTGGGGTTACGGCACTCATCTCGCTTTATTGGCTGAGGGAGCCGGCGTCCAGCTTCCGGGTCATGTGGCCAGCATGACCAAGCCGCTTCTGGCGAACCAGAGCAGCGCACGGAAACGCCGTTTATCTTCCCACCAGAGCGGTACCTAATTATCTACTTGCACTCTGACATGCTTTTGAACTGCTAGGTTGGCAGGAATGTACAGTATAGGTAGGTAATATATAGAGTAATGTAGGTATGTTTTATGTTATGAAAAGAAGGTAGTGTGTTGTGTACGTGTATTGCGTAAATGTATACGTATATGTTTTATATGTTAATAAAAATGGTAAATATATATATACAGTGGTACCTCAGGTTAAGAACTTAATTAGTTCTGGAGGTCCGTTCTTAACCTGAAACTGTTCTTAACCTGAAGCACCACTTTAGCTAATGGGGCCTCCTGCTGCCACCGTGCCACCGGAGCACAATTTCTGTTCTCATCTTGAAGCAAAGTTCTTAACCCGAGGTAATATTTCTGGGTTAGCGGAGTCTGTGACTTGAAGCATCTGTAACCTGAAGCGTCTGTAACCCGAGGTACCACTGTATACATAAAAAGAAAGAAGGCCCAGGTGGAGGCAACGAGGTCATCCCTGCATCTGGAGCCAGGGCAGGCTCAGGCCCCTGACTCGGCCCAGCTGGTGCTTGTTGCAGGGGAACCTGTGCAGACTGGGGCTCTTCAGGATCAGGCCCCAGACTTGGTTCAGATGATGCCTGAGGCAAAGGATCCGGTGCAGACTGAGACTCCTCTGGTCCCGAGTCCCAGGCCATCACAGCCTGTTGGGTTGTGGCTGGAGAAAGCCAGTGACTGACCGATTCTCCTTTCCCCCTGTTGGCAGGTACTTGAGGCAGATCTCCGATCTGACCTTCCCCCAGGAAGCCCAGCTGCAGAAGCTCAACAAGCTCAAGGCGTACAACTTGGAAGCGGAAATGCGCAGCCTCAGGTGAGCGGGCGGCAGTGGGGCACAGGATCGGGAGCCTTGGGTCAGTGCTGTGCCCCCTGGCAGAATTAGCAAGTCTGTGATGGGATGCCTTGCTCCTTGCTGTCCGTCACGCGCCCCCTGCCAAGGCAGGGTCCATAGCTCTAAGTGGCAGAGCAGGTCCCTTTCATGCCTCAGCCCCTCTACTGCCAGAAGGCTTTGGGGCAGCAGTGGGGCTGGACTCCAACGCCAGAGGAAATGGACCAGTTGTTAGACTTGTCTGAAGCAGCGACATGCCTTTAGCCTCTGGCTGCAAGCGGCAAGCGGCCTCGAAACAGGGAAGATGCATTTCTGGCCAAGATAATCACAGAATTGTAGAGACGGGTGGGATCCCCAAAGGCCATCTAGTCCAACCCCTTGCAATGCAGGAAACACAGCAAAAGAATCCCTGACAGAGAGCCATCTAACCTCTGTTTAAAAACCTCCAACAAAGGAGATTCCAACCACCTTCCAAGGTTGTCCATTCCATGCCTCTTGCCGTCAGAAAGTTATTCCTAATTTTGAGCTGGAATCTCCTTCTTTGTCATTTGAATCCGTTGGTTCGGGTTGAATCCTGCCCTCTGGAGCAGGAGAAAACTCCCTCTTGTCTCCCATGAATTGATGGGGTGGATGTGAATATTTTCTGTGTTTTCTTTTTTGGGGGGCCCTTTCCCTCTCCAAATCTGCTCTGTTTCAGGGTGGGGGGTTCCCCTGTGCAAAGCAAACACCCTCCTCGTTCTCCCAACTCTCTTTCCTCTCTCTCTCTCCTGGGATTTCAGGGAGCTGCTGGAGTCCACCCCGTCCCCCGTGGTCTTCTGCCACAACGACGTGCAAGAAGGTGAGGACACTGAAGTGGGGAAGGGAAGCTGGGGTGGTGGTGTGATCTTTCCCCCAGGTTCTGGCCAGGGGCCTGTGAATATTGGGTGGTGCTGAGAGTCCCACTCCCCACCCCCTGAATGATGCTGAGATTGCTCCCTGGAGCAGAGCGGTGCAAGGCACACGGCCCTGGCTTCCTTCTGCTGTGAGAGCAACGCAGTGCCTGCAGCCACCCTGAAAGGAAGGCCATATACGAAGAGCCTTGCAGCTAGATCAGACCCAAAGGGCCCATTGAGGCCAGTTCTGGGAGCAGAACCTTAGTTCCACAGGGCTCTCTCCACCTGTGACTCCCATAAACCAGTATCCAGAGGAATGCTGAAAGATCCTGTTCCCTCATATGAACCTGACTGGGCTCTGTGAGCTCCAGAGGAGGCCCTTTTTTCGTTCCAATCCCCCTCACAGGCATACTGGGTAGGGACGCAAGACAGGGCCTTATTGGTGGCAGCTCCCAGTCTTTGGAGCCCCCTGCCTAGGGAAGCCAGATGGGCTCCCTCCTTGCTCTCCTTCCGCCAACAGATATAGAATACCTACAGCAGCAGATCCCTATTCAGCAGATGAATACTGCCCTTGTTCCAACAGGCTTTGGGGAACTGGTTGCTTTTAACAAGAGGGCTGTTTTTCTTGGAATTATCTGTATGTTTTTGTAGATCACACACAGAGAGAGACATACACCATGCACAATTTTTGTTGGCATCCATCTGTCTCAGGGTTGAGGGGCAGAATGCACTTTTGGGAGTGAAATCAAACCATTGGAGAAATACAGATGGAGATGGGAGAGACATGTTTCATTACGCATATATAAAGGTAAAGGTACCCCTGCCCGTACGGGCCAGTCTTGACAGACTCTGGGGTTGTGCGCCCATCTCACTCAAGAGGCCGGGGGCCAGCGCTGTCCGCAGACACTTCCGGGTCACGTGGCCAGCGTGACAAGCTGCATCTGGCGAGCCAGAGCCACACACGGAAACGCCGTTTACCTTCCCGCCAGTAAGCGGTCCCTATTTATCTACTTGCAACCCGGGAGTGCTTTCGAACTGCTAGGTTGGCAGGCGCTGGGACTGAGCAACGGGAGCGCACCCCGCCGCGGGGATTCGAACCGCCGACCTTTCGATCGGCAAGCCCTAGGCGCTGAGGCTTTTACCCACAGCGCCACCCGCGTCCCTCTAAACGTAGACTGCCAATGCCGAAACCCGGGATCGAACCAGGGACCTTTAGATCTTCAGTCTAACGCTCTCCCAACTGAGCTATTTTGGCCAGATATACTCACATGTAAAATGTACATATTATCTATACCTACAAAATATGTGTGTGTTTAACAATTGCTTCCCCACAAGGTTCTGTTTCAACTGAGCTGCCTTGAGTTCTTGTCGGGGTGGAAAAGGTGGGATATAAATAAATATAATTACAAAAAGAGAAGAAGTGTTTGGATTAGATATCCCGCTTTATCACGACCCGAAGGAGTCTCAAAGTGGCTAACATTCTCCTTTCCCTTCCTCCCCCACAACAAACACTCTGTGAGATGAGTGGGGCTGAGAGACTTCAGAGAAGTGTGACTGGCCCAAGGTCACCCAGCAGCTGCATGTGGAGGAGCGGAGAAGCGAACCCGGTTCACCAGATTACGAGTCCACCGCTCTTAACCATGCTGCCCTTGACAATGGAGGGGGGTGGCGAGCATAGTGGCCATGGCGAGTGGCGCTGATGCCTTCTCCTGCTCTTGCTCCTTCTCTCCCCACAGGGAACATCCTGCTCCTGGCTGGGCGTGAGTCAGCCGCCTCAGATCGCCTCATGCTGATCGACTTCGAGTACAGCAGCTACAACTACAGGTGAGCTGGGGGTGAAGGCAGAGGGCAGGGAGGAAAGCAAGCGGCAGACATCGGGACTTGGTCATTCTGGACTCACAGCTGTCCATGGAGGCACAGGTCAATTCTGTGTCCAGGGCAGCTGTTTATCAGCTCCATCTGGTACGCAGGCTGAGACCCTACCTGCCCGCGGACTGTCTTGCCAGAGTGGTGCATGCTCTAGTTATCTCTCGCTTGGACTACTGCAATGCGCTCTATGTGGGGCTGCCTTTGAAGGTGACCCGGAAACTACAACTAATCCAGAATGCGGCAGGTGACTGGTAGTGGCCGCCAAGACCATATAACACCGGTCTTGAAAGACCTACACTGGCTCCCAGGACATTTCTGAGCACAATTCAAAGTGTTGGTGCTGATCTTTAAAGCTCTAAACGGCATTGGTCCAGTATACCTGAAGGAGTGTCTCCACCCCCCCACCCCCCATCGTTCAGCCGGGACACTGAGGTCCAGCTCCGAGGGCCTTCTGGCGGTTCCCTCCCTGTGAGAAGCCAAGTTACAGGGAACCAGGCAGAGGGCCTTCTCTGTAGTGGCACCCGCCCTGTAGAACGCCCTCCCAGCAGATGTCAAAGAGAAAAATAACTACCAAACTTTTAGAAGACATCTGAAGGCAGCCCTGTTTCGGGAAGCTTTTAATGTTTAATAGGTTATTGTATTTTAGTGTTCTGTTGGAAGCTGCCCAGAGTGCCCAGATGGGCAGGGTATAAATAATAAATTATTATTGTTGTTGTTATTATTGGTGGCAAGAGGCCTGGCAATGACCGCAGGGGCAGTGACCCCTTAACCAGGCAAGTCTCTGGATTTCTTTGTGCTGAGGAAAAATGGGGGGGGCAGGCCTGCTGCCCCACTAACGATGGGGCTTTTCCCCACCATGAAACTCTCAAAAGAGGTTTTGTTCCAGTGAAGCCCGTTGGCAAGCGTCTCACGCCCCAGCCCTGCAGCAGGCCAACTGGTGGGACCTGCCCATATTGGAGGGGCGGGTGTGATCCTGGCTTGATTCTCATCCACAGAGTCCAGTGAGCTGAGCTTCACCCTCCCTCCCTCTCTCCCTGCAGGGGCTTCGATATCGCCAATCACTTCTGCGAATGGGTGTACAACTACGCCCACGACCAGTGGCCTTTCTACAAAGCCAGCCCAGAAAACTACCCCAGCCGCCAGCAACAGGTAACTCCTGCTCTCTGCTCGCCACAAGGATGTGGCGTCTCTCGCTTGAAGGAAGCGGCCGTTTCTCCATTGACGGCCCGTTTTTGTTTCTCGCCGAATTATTCCGTGTTGGCGGCTTGCCGTTGCGCTGAAGCGTCCACAGCAAAAGGGAGAAGTAGAATGACACATGTGCATTCATATAACATACGGCTGATGAATCACAGTTTGTGAGTAAATGTAGGTAGGAGAGTTAATATCAAGGCCAACAGGAAACCCTGGCTAAAAGCAGTTTGCAATAAGTCCTCTTAACGTTCAGCTTTGCTGGCTGTGCATCACTTTTAGTGTTGTGAGAGAAGAGGGGAAACTTTTCTCTATTCACTTTCTCCGTGTCATGCATAATTTTTATAAGCTTCTATCAGGTTGCCTTTCACTCGTCTTTTCTGTAAAGTCCCAAATACCTGATAATTTTGGCTGCCTTTACATCTCAAAAGTGGTTTGCAACAAGCATTTAGGTTCCCCCGTAACTGCATTTGAAAGCAGACGCCTGTGTTCTGTAGTTCCTGCAGGCTTTGCGCGGGGGGCGGGGGTGTTGATTTATTATTTGCGTGGTTATAAAGAAAGCATTATAATTGCTTTGTAAACCCATTTCTAACTTACGGGACCTGCCTTTGGGCTTCCAGAATAAATGCCAGTATTATCAACAGCTGGGTCCTCTGAGTATCACTGTCTCTCCCTTACATTTGCATAACATTTCATTATAAATCACGGATTACAAGAGTTTGAGTTTCGAATCTAATCAAGTAATGGGTTTTTTGGAGGGTGTCGTCGTAATTGGCAGAAACCTCTTAGGCTCTTATACTAAGTTGCTGCTGGCTTGACCAGCCATTGGTGCACGTTTGACTTAGCAGCTGACTCTGTGCATTTGGAACTGGTCAGGTGAGTAGCCTTGATGCTGCTGGAGGCTGGAGGCTCAGGGAGGCTGGAGGGCAGGGGGTGCTCTCACAAGCCCCTGCCCAGAGCAGCAAGACTGCAGGGATTTTTATTTGAACATTGATTCCTGCCTCCCTCATCTGTCACAGTTCTTTCCCAAAGCACACTAAACTCCACTAAAATACAGAAGCAGAATTTTGGAAGATTCGGAACAAGGCTGTCAATATTGTCATGCTGTTATACAATGGTACCTCGGGTGACAGGCGCTTCAGGTTACAGACTCTGCTCACCCAGAAATAGTACCTCGGATTAAGAACTTTGCTTCAGGATGAGAACAGAAATTGCGCGGCAGCAGCGGGAGGCCCCATTAGCTAAAGTGGTGCTTCAGGTTAAGAACAGTTTCAGGTTAAGAACGGACCTCCGGAACGAATTAAGTTCTTAAACCGAGGTACCACTGTACAAAATTTTGGTACAACCACATTCTGGTTGCCTCACCTCAAAAAGGATATTGTGGCGTTTGGAATAGTTTAGGAAAGGGGGTGGCACAATGACCTTACAAAGATAGATTGCAATGTCTACGGCCTTTTAGTTCAGAGAGAAGGTGGGAAAGAGGCAACACATTAGAAGTTTATAAAATGATGCACAGCACGCAAAAAGTGGGTAGAGAAAAGGTCTTTCTCTCTTGTCAGACTAGAATTGTGGACATCCGATGAAGTTGGATGATGGAAGATTCAGGGCAGAGAAAAGGAAGTCCTCCACGCATAGTTGTACTATGGAACTCACTGCCACAGGAAGCAGCGAGGGCCACCAATTTGGAAGGCTTTAAAAGAGGATTGTGCAAATTCATGGAGGAGCAGAGGGCTATTGAGGGCTCCTAGCCAGGATGGCTGTGCTGTGTCTCCAAGGCAGCAATCCTCCTCCATCCCAGATGCTGGAAACCACAGGAGGGGAGAGTTGCTCTTGTGCTCAAATCCTGCTTTCAAATTTTCACACGGGCATCTGATTGTGCCACCGTGGACAACTGGACTAGATGGTCCACTGGCCTGGTCTAGCAGCCTCTTCTGTTTCTCTGAGCTGCCTCTCAGCTTCACCAAAAAGCAATAAATCGCCTTTTTTTATTTAAAGGGAGATATTTATTGGGGAGAAACAGCTGTAGCTCTCCAAAAAGCACAAGCTTTTTGGTTTCCAGTGTTGCCTTTTGAAAGCGTGGCGACCTGCCCTGGGACCTTGAGGGGAAGGGTGGGTTATCAATCAAATTAAGAGGATCAGTCATGAGCATGTTCGGGCAAGCAGGCCAGAGCAAGGAGATCTCGGAGAGGGGAGCGGCCTGCCGTGTCAGGACCCAGCTCTGTTCTCCCAACTCACCCTGAGGCTACTCTTTCCACAGCTGCATTTTATCCGCTGCTACCTGGAGGAGGCAGCTGGGAAGAAAGCGCGCCCGTCCCCGGAAGAGCAGGAGCGCCTGGAGGAGGAGATGCTTCTGGAGATCAGCCGGTCAGTGTCTGGGAACGCAGGAAAGTCACCTTGAGAATTAATAAATAATAATAATAATAATAATAATAATAATATTTATACCCCGCCCTTCCCGGATTAGAAAACCAGGCTCAGGGCAGCTAACAACAAATTTAAAACACTTAATTGATGCAACAAAAAACAGCATAAAACGTGAATAACAATAAATTCAGAATTCAAAAATCAGTTTAGGGGGGGAAATCCATCCAATAAACATTCAGTGATCTCCAGGGCTAGCTGGCTAAATTATTTGGGCCAGGGAGGAGTCCAGGGGAGAATTAGTTGTGGGATCCCAGAGCGGGTGATCTTCATAAAAAGGGGAGGGGGAGGGAAGGAAGGGGAATAAAAGATGAGGCTAAGTTCACATTGAAAGCCAGGCGGAATAGCTCTATCTTACAGGCCCTGCGGAAGGAGGTTAAATCCTGCAGGGCCCTGGTCTCATGGGAGAGAGCATTCCACCAGGTCGGAGCCATCACTGAGAAGGCCCTAATAGGAAAAGGTCGAAATTTAGCAGGGGATCAATGGTCTCACTACATGCCTCTTCATAAAAGGGACATCTAAAGAACAAGTGCTCTGGGCTTCCTGTCTCCCCCAATGAACAGGCACAAAGTCTCTGAGCATATGCTGCCCCTATTTTATCCTCATAACAACTTTGTGAGGCAGGTTGGGCTGAGACAGGCAGGTAGCGACAGGCCCAGGCCCCACCCAGTGAGCTTCGTAGCCAAGTGTGGACCGTGGTCTCCTGGGTCCCAGCTCGTTTTTCTAACCACTGCGCCACATGGAGTCAGGAAGCATGGATGTCCAGAGCAGTTGCCCCATCCCTGAGCCAGCACCCCTCTATACGATGGAGAGAGGCCGCTTTGGACCCCCGTTGCCTTGCCTCCAGCTCCTCTTCCTCCTCCTTCCCTGACTCCTCTCCTCCCCATCTCTCTCTCCCAGATTTGCGATGGCCTCCCACTTCTTCTGGGGCTTGTGGTCCATCTTGCAGGCCAAGATCTCCACCATCGAGTTTGGCTACCTGGTGAGTCCTTGCGTTGCTGACCCAGCAAGCTCTTCTCGTGTGATGTTTTCAGCGAACTTCCAGTGGTTTGTGAAGGCAGAGGGATGCATTAGGCAACAAGAGCATCCCTTTAGAACTGGGTGTTGGTGGCTTCTCATGTTCTGGGAAAGGTGGTGCAATGCCTGACCCTGACTCTGCCCTCCTCCTTCCTCCCCTCCTCTTACCTCCCAGGAATATGCCCAGTGCCGCTTCGAAGCCTACTTCCAGCAGAAATCTCTCTGCGAGTGACCCTCGCCTGTCCTGCCTCCGCGCCCAGGCTTCAGCCTGGCTGGCGCTGTTGCGGGACCTGGACTGAACTCCTGGACCTCAAGAGGCACCGTTGCCAGTGGACCAAAGCTCTCTCCCCGGACGCAGGAGGAGGGTTGGCTGGCCAGCTCTCGTTCCGCAGCGGCAAAAACTCTGGCTTCCGGGCAAGGGGGTCACGGAGCCCCCGTGGGGTGGCAGCACACCTGGAGGATGCCAGGCAGCTAAATGTTGCAGGCATGGCTTCCGGCAGGCGGTCCCTCTGTGATGGAGGTTCCTTGGGCACGGGGAAGGTGGGAAGAGGAGATCTCTGCCCTTTGGGACAGGGAGGGGATGTGCGAGCCCCCCCACCCCCCAGGGTCCTCGCCTGCTTCCATTCCGCCTTCTGTTGCCCTCGGCCCTCCATGCCCTCTGCTGCCTCCACCACTGTGCCTTCCCTTGGCCTTGCTCAGCCCTCTCCCCCAGAGATTTCTCTCCTGCCCCAAATCTATGCACAAGCTCACCCCTCTCCTTCCCTTCGTAGCCCATCCCTTCCAGATCTTAGACTCCTCACAGGTCCTTCTGGTCTGCCTCAGTGCCAGCCACAGATGGCATGGTGGGGGGGCTGGTGCCTTTGGGGACCGAGACTGCACAGTGCAAGGCCAAGGACTAGTGAGCCCCCACACACACCCCGGTGAGCCTTGGGGCAGAGGTAGAGGGTCTCTAGGCCTTACTTGCTGCTGCAGGGACGCCCAGCTCTGGCCGCCGTCTCCCATTACTGGATTGGTTCCCTTGTGCAGTTTCCCAAGGAGACGCTTTGGCCAGGACTGGGGAGGCAGTGGGAGGGCTTCGGAGGCAGGACCAGAGGGCAAAGGTCGCCCCAGAGGATCCTCGGCTGGGGGGGCAGGGTTTGCTCTGGAGGTCTTCCCTCCCCAGATGTAATCCCAGCCCACTTCGCCGGAGCCTCTCCGGAACGACAGGCAGTTGAGGCCAGGACTTGGGGGGCGGCTCCTGCCCCTTGCCCAGGGGCACCACAAGCTTTTGGACCTGCTGGAGGGCCAGATTTTGCAGGGGGGGGGGCTTCCACCTTGTTTCTTCCTTTCCCCGGGAATGGGTTTGCTTGATGGGGGCGGTGGGAGATAAATGACACCTTTTGGTCTTTGTTAACTTCGTTGTATCTGCATTTCTATGAATGTCCAGCAGAGAGAGCCAGGGATGCGGTGGGCTCTCTAGCCCAAGCTAGCCTTTGGCAGGCAGCCTGCCCTCTCTCTCTGTTCTCAGGGCCGCTCTTCTCTTCCGGCATCGCTGACGATAACCATGGAATGTAATCTCTGCAATTGCCAATAAAAGCCTGGCACTCCACCCACTATGATCCTGTGTGTGTGTGTGTGTGTGTCCCTGGCTTGATCACTTTGGGGTGTCTGTTGCCAGGGGAGGAGGTCGGAGGTCGTAGAATTGGTTGCAAGCCAGCTCCCCCAGAGGGAAGCCCCACAACGGGACCCAGAGCTCAATCGAAATTTTCCCTTCCACGTCGAAAGCTATCTCATCCTGTTGGGTGTTCAGTGCATCCATTTGGATAATATATCTGGTCAGCATATGAGCTGAAGGGATTCCTGCCATAAGACTCTGAGAGTTTTAAAGAAGGCTGAAAGGAAGAAAATATTAGGCCAAATGTAATATCCTGCCCTCCCCCCCCCCCCCGGTTAAGTGTAAAAATATTGCTTCTGACTCTTCGGAATAAAGTTGGTCATCGCACTTCTGTAGAATGTTGTCTGCAGAATACAGGGCATCGTTTTAAATTCTTAGCAAAGGTAGAAGTTTCACCTCGTTCTCTCCACTGTTTCAATAACTTGCTTTTTCAATTGGTCATGTATTTGTTTTTCCCTCTGAAAAATTTGGCAACTGCATGGTACTGTTTATGCTGGCAGTAAACCAATTCCCCCCCCTCCTTTTTTAAAGAAACTTTCCGCCACTTGCCACCCCCAGCAACCAATATCATAGAATTCTAGAATTGGGAGGGACCTCAAAGGTCATCCAGTCCAGCCCTCTGCAATGCAGAGATCTCAAGTTGATCAAACATGACAGATGGCCCTCCAATGTCTGCTTAGGAACCTCCAAGGAAGGAGAGTGCACCATCTCTCATGGGAGTCCGTTCCGCTGCCAGAAAGTCCTTCCTGGTGTTTAGTCGTAATCTCCTTTCTTGTAACTCGCAGCCATCGGTTTGGGTCTTCCCCTCTGGAGCAGGAGAAAATAAGCTTGCTCCCAATTCATGTGTCGGCCCTTCAGATATTTGAAGGTTGCTATCCTCTCTCCTCTCAGTCTCCTCTTCTCCAGGCGAGGCATACCCAGCTCCTTCAAGCACTCCTCATAAGGCCTGGCTTCCAGACCCTTGATCACTGTTACGGAAAAATCCAGGTGTGAGGCTGCTCAGTCACCCAGCTCGTCGGGCAGAGCCCGCGGGTCCCTGCGGAATAAAGGAAGGAGTCCAGCCACCAACCGGAGCAAATAGCTGTAGACCAACGTTTTATTGCGCAACAGCTTCAAAGAGGAATTTTGAACCCCAAGGGATGGGGTGACAAAAGAATTTTAAAAGTTTCTATCTTATCCTAGCATACAGTTCATTAAGCATCATCACGACATCATTGCTACATCAGAAAGGGAGGGTTATACATGATTAAGCTACTACAAAAGAACAATAGAACCTTGGTTTGCTAGTCTTGCCACCTGGGGCAAGTCCGGAGGAGTGCCTTGCCCAGCGATGGACACCTTCCTGTGGACACCCACTGTGTGGCAGTACAGTGGTGGAGTGTCCGAATGGCTAGCAGGGGTTTTCGTATTATCTGTAGGAGATGTGGGGCCACACGATGATACATGTTCACAACCGCAAGCGATTCCACTGTGTGTATATTACTTCACAAACTTATTACATCGTGCTGTAATTTAGTTAATCTGACGCCACATTTTCCAAGTGTACACAATTTCCTGCCACCGTGACGTCATTATATTCAATAAACATCTCCCAATCTTCTTTAAACGAATGTTCTTCTTGAAGTAAATAAAAAAATTGTCCAGTGTCGCCTTAGAGACCAACTAAGTTTGTTACAAGAATGTTGTTCTTGTTCTCTTATTCTATAAGTTAGATCCGCAAGATGCACATATTCCAGTAGTTTAAGTTGCCATTCTATTTTGGTTGGCACCTCGCTCGTTTTCCATTTTGGGGCTAACGAAACACAACGTTAGTGTTCTGCACGATCTCTCCTCTCTCCCGCCGAAAGTCTTCCCCAGCAACTTTCTGACATCTGTGGCCCCTTCCGCTCCTGGCGATGGCTCTGGGCACCAACACGACTGCTCTGCTGTAAACACAGACTAAAAATAGCTCCGGCGCCCGAGCCAAACTCTGTGCCGCAGGCTGTGTGTGCTTTGGGACGGCTGAAGGGGCGCTCTGACCTGCAAATGATCCCCTGGCCATGCCCCATGGAGGTCTGCGCTCGACCCCTTTGCAGGGGCTGCTTGCTGCTTCCGCCTGGCTGGGTTGGGCCCGCCTCGCCAAGCGGGCGTTCGACTTCCTGGCCGGTGCCCTCTGGGCTTTGTGGGGCCTCATCGCCTTGTCCTGGAAAAGGCAGGGTGCTCAGGGGCCCCTGCCCGAGCCGTGGGAGAGCTGCCCTGAGCTGAGGGTCTACCGGGGAGGAGATGGTGAGGCTGAGCTGCTCACGGTCCACACACAGCCCTACAGCTTCCAGGTAGGGCCTGGCGGGGGGCTCTCTTGTGCTAAGGGGTGGCAGGAATCATAGAATCATAGAACTGTGGAGTTGAAAGTAATCTTAAGGATCATCAACCACCCGCAATGCAGGAATAGACAGGTGCCCTGCAACCCTGGTGTTATCGGCACCATGGTTATCTAACCATGGTGAGCTATCCAGCCTACATGGAGGCTTTCCCCAGGAGTCAGATGCAAATTCACCTGTCACGCCTGTCGGAATTGGGGGTCAAAAGGCCACCTGGCTCAGCCCCAGCTGGAGTGTCTCCCTTCAGCCTTGCCGCTGCGGAGATCCCTCGACCTCTGCTCAGTGACTCAAGCTTGCAGACTTGAGCACACTTTACTCAGCAGTGTAAACTGCGCAACAGAAGAGGCTTGAGGCAGCAGACACATACTAAACTACGCATTTATTATACATAAATCAGGACAAAGAAAACATGGCATCTCTCCTTGCCGTCTTATCGGAGAGAGACTGAAAACAAAAGCAATACAGAGCAGAAGTTCCGCTCACGCCAGCAATCTGTGCTGGAATGTAAATAGATGTGTGACATGTAACAATCCCATGTCTGCAGCAAAGGGTGGAATGGAATCCCAACAGCACCAACTATGACCGTTTCCTGACAAGCCTGACCACTATAGTCCATGCACGGGTAACCTCAAGTCTGGACTACTGCAGTGTGCTCAATGTGGGGCTGCCCTTGGGGTTGGTCCAGAAGTTCCAACAGGTGTGGGATGCCTGATGGGAGCATCTGATGAAGAACATGCAACACCAAACGCTGCACTGGTTGCCCATCTGCTACCCAGCCAGGGTCGAGGTGCTTGTATCAATTTGCCAAGCCCTGGACAATTCAGGTCCAGAATATCTCAGAGACTTTCTGAACCCTTACAGCCCAGCTCAGTCACTGAGATCACCTGCAGGTGTGTCACAGAGCATCCCCCAATTTGGAGCGGCTCATTTGGCAACCACGGGAACAGAGACAGGTTTACGGGAGAGCAACTAGGTCCACCGCAGGGGGCACCGAGCCATGGGTTGCGAACGCTGCGGATTGCAAACGTGGTTCCCATACGGATCACGTTTGCAACCAAGCGTCCACTGTACTCGCATAATTTTCTTATGTTCTCTCTCTCTCTGCCTGGCAGGTGGATCTGGCCCGCCTGGCAATGGAGAGCGCCTATTTTGAGGCCCTCTCGAGATCCCGCATGCAGGAGGCGTCGGAGAGGCAGCTGGATCTGAGCCACGTGCCCTCGGGGACCTTCCGCGCCATCCTGGAGTGGGTCTTTTCCGGGCGTTTCAGCCTAGAAGAGGAAGACCTCTTGCCAGCGGTGCAGACCGCCAGCTACCTGATGCTCCCGGGGTTTCTGGACCGGTGCTGGGCGGCGCTGAGCCCGCTGCTGAGCCCCCAGAACTGCCTGGCGTACCTGGGTTTTGCGGAGGCTGTGGGATGCCCTGAGCTGAGGGCACTGGTGTCCGGCTACCTGAGTGCCCACCTGTTGGAGCTGCCAGCCCCTGTCACTGAACGGCTGGACCCCCAACTGCGGGAGGAGCTGGCGCAGCTCCGCTTCAAGGGCCGCCCCATGCTGTGCGCCCTGCGCAAGGAGAACGTCAGCCTGGCGCCCGGAGTCCCCCTAGAACACCTGCAGGGCCTCTACCACCGCCCTCTGCCCCCTGAGGAGGGGGACTGGCGCTGTGCCACCCGACTGCCCTTCCAGGCCGAGAAGTGGAGCTTCAGCACAGCACAGCTCCTCAACTACCTCTTCGTCATGGGGGGCTACCGGGAGAAGCGGGGCCCCCGCAGTTTCACCTTTCGTATGGCGGCCTTCCGCTACAACCCCTTGACGGGAACGTGGAGATCCACCGCCGCCCCCAATAAGGTCAGGTCCTGCTCTAAGGCCAGGGCTATGTCTCAGGTACCACACACACACATACATACACACACACACTATATTTTTCCGTCTATAAGACGCCCCCATGTATAAGACACCCCCTGTTTTGGGGGACTCTGATTTAAGAAATTGGGGGGAGATGGCCCCCATGTATGACGCCCCCAAATTCTGGACATTATGTTTTAGGGGGGAAACCTAGTCTTATACATGGGAAAATACGGTGTGTGTGTATAAAAATTGATTTTCCATTTTATAATATACGGTATAACCACATCATTATTACAGTCATACTTCGGGTTGAAGTAACTTCAGGATGAGTATTTTCGGGTTGTGCTCCGTGGTGACCCGGAAGTAACGGAGCGTGTTACTTCCTGGTTTCACCGCTCGCGCATGCGCAGATGCTCAAAATGATGTCACGCACATGCGTGGAATCGCGACCCATGCACACTCAGACGCGGGTTGTGTTCGCTTCAGGATGCGAACCGGGCTCTGGAACGGATCCTGTTCACATCCAGAGGTACCACTGTATTCACATGATCTCTTTTGCTCATTAGAGCCTATTGACTTCCGCCCCTCCCGTCTCACGGCTTTCAAAATTAACCTTTATATCACTGCCTTTGTACACTTTCCAATTCTAGTTGATTCATTACAAATAGCATTAAAATTAATATTATCATAAAAAGGGAGGAAGTTGCCCATTACAAGTCTTCAGTCAACCCTGCTAGTGATGTTTAATTGCTTACAGTGATCTTTCAAATGTTATATATATATAAATTTACTCTCATCTCGATTTCTGAGCTTCCCGGTTAGTTTGGCCATTTCAGGGTAGTCCATTAATTTGGTTTGCCAATCTTTTTTGCTTCTTCTTGCCATCTTTGAGCTGACAGCATTTGGGAGGCCGTCATCACATACATGAACAATTTTTTCTGGTCTTTTGGGATCTCCGCTCCTACAATACCTAGTAAAAAGGCTTCTGGGTTTTTTTTTAACAAAGGTTACTCTGAACATTTTGTTTTATTTCGTTATAAATCATTTCCCAATTGTTTTTAACCTTCCTACATTCCCACCACATATGATAGAAGGTACCCTCTGTTTCTTTACATTTCCAACACTTATTAGATATTTATTATTTATACCCCGCCCATCTGGCTGGGTTGCCCCAGCTACTCTGGGCAGCTCCCAACAGAATATTAAAAACACAATAAACATCAGACCTTAAAAACTTCCCTAAACAGGGCTGCCTTCAAATGTCTTCTAAAAGTCTTGTAGTTGTTTCCTTGACATCTGGTGGGAGGGCGTTGCACAGGGCGGGCGCCAATACCAAGAAGGCCCTGTGCCTGGTTCCCCGTAACCTCACTTCCCGCAGTGAGGGAACCACCAGAAGGCCCTCAGCACTGCACCTCAGGGTCTGAGTAGAACAATGGGGGTGGAGAAGCTTCTTCAGGTATACGGGGCCATTTAGGGCTTTAAAGGTCAGCACCAACACTTTGAATTGTGCTCGGAAACGTACTGGGAGCCAATGAAGGTCTTTCAAGACCGGTGTTATATGGTCTCGGCAGCCGCTCCCAGTCACCAGTCTAGCTGCCGCATTCTGGATTAGTTGTAGTTTCCGGGTCACCTTCAAAGGTAGCCCCACGGAGAGCGCAATGCATTAAAGTGGTACCTCATGTTAAGTACTTAATTCGTTCCAGAGGTCCGTTCTTAACCTGAAACTGTTCTTAACCTGAAGCACCGCTTTAGCGAATGGGGCCTCCTGCTGCCGCCGCGCCGCTGGAGCACAATTTCTGTTCTCATCCTGAAGCACTATTTCTGGGTTAGCGGAGTCTGTAACCTGAAGCGTATGTAACCCGAGGTACCACTGTAGTCCAAGCAGGAGATAACCAGAGCTTGCATCACTCTGGCAAGACAGTCTGTGGGCAGGTAGGGTCTCATCCTGCGTACCAGATGGAGCTGGTAGACAGCTGCCCTGGACACAGAACTGATCTGCGTCTCCATGGACAGCTGTGAGTCCAAAATGACCCCCAGGCTGCGCACCTGGTCCTGGTCTTTACATCTCCAACACTTATAGATCTTGTTCTATACATTTCTGCTAATTTAACCAGGGTTAGATACCACCGGTACATCATTTTCATCTTATTCTCTTTCGGCAGTGCCTGTCCCTTCCTGACGCTCTCTGCTTTCCTGCTCCTCTTGCAGCGCCGGCGCCACTTCAGCAGCGCTGTGGTGGGGCACCACATCTATGCCGTGGGCGGCTGGTTCCTGGACTCGCTCCTGCCCCCGGACAGCAGCACCCGCCTGTACACGGCCGTGGAGCGCTATGACCCTTGGGCTGACTCCTGGGCCTTCGTCTCCTCCCTCCCCATGGGCGACTTCTCCTTCGCCGTCTCCCTGTCCCACGACCTGCCCCTCTGCACTGCACATGGCGGCTGCATCTATGCCCTGGGCAGCATACAACGCACCGGGGAGAAACTTCTGCTGTGCTACGATGTGGCCGCTGGTGAGGAGGGGGCAATGAAGCAGCCAATGCACTGCACCATAGGTGCTGACTCCCTGGGGCCCTGGTTGCCTGAGCACCCACAAAACTCCCCACCAATCGGCCAGGCACCCACAAAATTCAGTGCCAGGGCCATGCACGCTGCAAGGCAACCACCGTCCTGGACACCTGCGGTTGCGCAGCCAGGCTGGCACTCGTGCGCCACAGCATTGTGCAGAGAGGGGATGGCAAGGTGGTGTTATGTGTGAGAAAAGAGATAGGGGTGTGGGTACTTATTTTTATTCATTGCAGAAGGTTTACACACTGCTTGATTTGTTTTTTAAAAAGAAAACCCTCATAGCAGTTTACAAAGAAAGATAACCGCAGTGTTTTTTTCGTGGAAAAGAGGTGCCAGAACTCAGCCTTGAACCTTGTTCTCTTATAAGGGCAAGGGTGAGAGGTGCCGGAACTGAGTTCCAGTGAGTTCCGGCCCCCCAAAAGCCCTGGACTGAGAGCCAGTGTGGTGTAGTGGTTAAGAGCAGTAGTCTCGTAATCTGGGGAACCAGGTTCGCTTCCCCGCTCCTCCACACGCAGCTGCTGGGTGACCTTGGGCCAGTCACACTTCTCTGAAGTCTCTCAGCCCCACTCACCTCACAGAGTGTTTGTTGTGGGGGAGGAAGGGAAAGGAGAATGTTAGCTGCTTTGAGACTCCATCGGGTAGTGATAAAGTGGGATATCAAATCCAAACTCTTCTTCTTCTTCTTCTTCTGGATAATAATATTACGAGTCAGAAAAATGAATAATGATTTGAAACTTTCAAAAAGTTGAAATAACTAAAATAGACTAAAAACAGGTTAAAAGTTGTAAGTTTCAAAACATCTAGAGAGGCTTGTCTAAGCGGGAACATTTGCGGTAGGTGCCGAAAAGAGTACAGCGAAGAGTACATCAAGTGGCAGGAAGTTCCAAAGTATAGGTGCAGCCGTGCCAGGAGTTCTCCCGAAAGCAGAACAGATAGTTTGTGGCGGTTCCACTGATCAGCATGGTCTAGTGGGCACATATTGGGGGATGCGGAGGTGGCCGATTGTGAGTTAAGCGGGCAGGGAAGGAGGGGGATATGGACAAGGGCTGGCGGTGGGTGCGAGGGCAGGGGATCTGGGCTGTGGGTCCGGCCTGAGGGTGGTTACATCCCCGCCTTGTCTTCTCCTTGCAGACACGTGGCAGGAGCTCCTTCCGACTCTGACGCGGGCAGACGCTGACCTGCCTGGGCTCTACTTCCTGGGCGGCACGGAGCCCCTCTTCGTGGTGGGGGGCAACGCCCAAGACAACGTGGTCACCTCCTTCTGCCCCAGCACCCGGCAGTGGGGCCCTGCCCGGACCCTGCCCAAGTGCAGCCTGGCCGGACAGGGCCTGGCTTTGGACGGCACCCTCTATATGGCCTCTTCTGACTTGGAGGCCCTCTTGGAAGTGGAACTCGGAGTCCCGGACTGCCGCCAGCTGCCCCCGCCACCCTTTCCCCTGTCCTATGAGGCCATCTTCCTGCTCCACTTCCCCCCGGAAGGCTGTCGGGAAGAAGAAACAGAGTCCAGGGGACTCCAGGGACATTGAGTCTCCCGTCTCCCCTCCTCCCTTTTGTCTGTTTGTCTTTTCCCGTCTGTCCAGTGAAAAAAAGACAGTCACGGAACCAAGAAATTGCACAAAAGAAATTACCGTGAAAATCCCTGAAACAAAAAGTAATTGACTATGGAATAACAAAAATAAAAAAATAAACTAGAATTAAACAAAGACTTTACGAGATGACGGCTACAAAACTTGTTTCACTGAACTAATCAGTTTCCTCAGAAGAAAATAAAGAAATTAAAAGATTTGAAGTGATATCAAACAAGCTCAAGAGAAGGGCTGAAAATGCTTCCTCGAGTTTACAAAGAAGGTATGAAAACCTCAAAGACAAGTTTTAAACATAGCCCTATTTAAGAGAATCAAGCAGCAGTGATAAGAAATTGAGGTTTGAAGTTTCAAACAAACTCAAAAAACAGGGCAGAAACTCAAACAAGTTTTAAACAGAGCCCTATGAAGAAATTGAGGTTTTAAGTTTCAAACAGACTCAAACACAGGGCTGAAGCGCTCTTGACTACTGATGTTAAAGACTTCAAACCTTAATTGTTTATTACTATTATTATTGGATTCTCTTAAACAGAGCTATGTTTAAAACTTGTCATTGAGGTTTTCATGCCTTTTTTTGTAAATTCGAGGAAGCATTTTCAGCCCTGCTCTTGAGCTTGTTTGATATCACTTAAAATCTAATAATTTCTTTTCCCGTCTGTCCGGCAGCTCTGGGGTTTGGACCAGTTATCAGCCAAGATGGGCCATTCCTGGGTCAAGCCTTCTTGCTGGGCACCCTCCCCCACCCTCCCTTGCCCTCTCACCCAAATACCGGCCTCTATTTATAGCACCATGGCTTGCAAAACAGCTGCTGCTGCAAACGAAAAGGGTGGTCTGGCTCCTTCCTCCACTCCCGATTCTGCACGCACAACACGGAGTGCATCTCCCCGCTGCCCCAGACCCAAACAGCTACCTGGAGCTTCTCTCCGACCCAGATCCTCTCCCTAACTCACAACTGCCCAGGGTCCTTCAAAACTTCTCGTTTTTGCTGTGAAGGAGCTGAAGGGTTACGCTTACTACAAATCATCACAAAATTGCAGGGCACAGGGAGGGCACCTAAATCCCATCTAGTCCAACCCCCGTGCCTGGAGTGACCTGCTTGTATTGGAGAAGTGTTGGGGTTCAGTACCCAATACCCTTTGGGTTCACAGCCTGGGCAGCCCATAAAATCCAGAGACCATCTGCCAGTAATACGGGATTATTTTATTTGTGGTTTGGTGTGACTATTAATTTCACAAATGAAGCATATGGTAGGAAGGTACCTACATTATACAATACTGTCTGGTGCACATAAGTTATCCCTCTTCATTCCTCGCTGTTTCTCCATTTAATTTTGATATCTGTAACCAAGTTGACAAAAAGAATGGATTCTGAAATGTATAATTTTGAATTGTTACTGGTATAAACTATTATTTGCCTGCTTAACCGTGCTCAGCGTCGGGAAAGCGTGGGAGAACTGAGCAGGAGGAGACAGACTGGAACCGCAGTAGAAAACGGAACGCTTTGAGTTGCAGAACTTTGAAAGAGCTCAGGACTTGCTGCAGACTGTGGGACAGCAAGAACTTTGAAGCAAAAAACCCTCTCTGGGAACAGAGAGAGTCCTACTTGTAACGGGATATAAAGCATATGTGTATGCAGCGCGTGCTTGTGTGTGTGTGTGCAGTAAAGAACAACTCTGCTAAACAAATGTTTTGTGTGGTGAGTTTAAAGCTTCTGTGCTGCACAAACACAGAACACACCCAACAAGATGGGAAGGCATGGAGAAGCAGCAATGCAGGATGAAGCCAAGCTTACAATTCTTGGGCTGTTGCTTCATTTCTCAGGCTGTGAGGTTCTGTTCTTCTCTCTCCAGGGCCGCAAGTTCCTCCAGAAGTTTCTGTTTCTCCTGCTGCAGCGCCTACAGCCTGTCTTCCTTTCTCTTCAAGAGACCCTCCACCCACTGCATCAGAGGACCACTGATGATCAAGATCTGGCTGCACAGCCTCTTAGTGAACACCGCTCCATTGTGGATCTTGGTGATAGGATCCAGATGAGAAAGGCTATGGATTTTCCTGAAGGCATCTTGCTCCTCTTGACGCAAGATCCTGTGGAACGCCATCATGGACTCAAGACACGCTTCTCCCATGCCGGTGTGAGGAATCAGGTGAACAGGAACCCTTTCATATTTGCAGGAGCTCTTTGGGGCTTGGAGGGACTGGAAGCAGGTGAAGACGATCCGGCCCGTCTTTGTGCTTTTGTCCTCGCCGAAACAGGAGAAGATCAGCCCCACAAAGTCTCTGTCCAACATCCGATATATCGCTTGCGTGCAGAGGTCGATGTGCCATGGCCAAACAGTGACGTGGGGATGGGGATGTTGTTGTTGTTGTTGTTTAGTCATTTAGTCGTGTCCGACTCTTCGTGACCCCCTGGACCAGAGCACGCCAGGCACTCCTGTCTCCCACTGCCTCCCGCAGTTTGGTCAAACTCACGCTGGTAGCTTCAAGAACACTGTCCAACCATCTTGTCCTCTGTTGTCCCCTTCTCCTTGTGCCCTCCATCTTTCCCAACATCAGGGTCTTTTCCAGGGAGTCTTCTCTTCTCATGAGGTGCCCAAAGTCTTGGAGCCTCAGCTTCAGGATCTGCTTTTCCAGTGAGCACTCAGGGCTGATTTCCTTCAGAATGGAGAGGTTTGATATTCTTGCAGTCCATGGGACTCTCAAGAGTTTCCTCCAGCACCAGAATTCAAAAGCATCCATTCTTCGGCGATCAGCCTTCTTTACAGTCCAGCTTTCACTTCCATACATCACTACTGGGAAAATGGGAATGATACCAGCCCACAACTCTTGTGGGCTGTCCCATTAACTTAGCCAACCTCTCCGCTTCCATCGAAGCAACCGAGAGCTGCTCCGGGGAAATCTCCACCCGATCTGTCCTCTTATCTGACCGGAGCAGAATGATCACCGGGCGAATGCGAGCAATTTGGCCAGCCCTGACCTTGCTGAGGCAGAGGCCCATGACCTCTTCTTGCTGAGTGCTCAGAGTGTGGGCCATGCAGACCAGGAAGGCGTCCGCCTCCAAGTGCACGGCCTGCAACGCCATTGCCACCTGCTTCGCTTTCTGCCTGCCACTCCTGTTCAGGAGGGAGAGAGACGGCGAACGTGCCGGTCAACGGCCCCAAACATCCCTTCCGCCAAGGCCTGCCTGCACAGAGAACGAGACAAACAAGTTGTGACTACATTATTGCATGAGCACTGTTCCACAGCATTTGATATTTTCATTTACATACATCCATTCAAAATAAGATGGGTTTATGAAGCAGTTCCATATCCTCCCACCACGCTGACGAAGAATTCTATGAAACATTAGTCAATATCCGGAATCACTGTTCCGTGTTGGACATCATATTTGCTGACTACACAAAGCTTCACAGCTTGTCTGTCATCCCACAAAGTCTGGTACCTCGCTTCCTGTAAAGATTTCCAGAGACTTTGAGACTAAAGATTTCATTTTGTACTTGGTTTGAAGGAATTCTATAAAGATTGTCTATTGCGTATGTACATGGTCATCGTGTTGCCTAGACATTGCTGATGCAGAGAGAACGAGACAAACAAGATATTCATTTTGGTGTTGCCGGTGTGACACAATCCCCACCAGCAAGTTCCATATTTTCCGTGTATAACACCCCCCCCCCCGTGTATAAGGTGACCCCTATTTTTAGGGGGGAGATTAGAAGAAAATGGGGGGACATTGCCCAGTTTTGTTGTTTTTTTGCGGATGATTGCCCCCCAGCTTTTTTTAGGGGTAAGGACTGCCGAAAATTGGCACATCTGAGCTGTGCTGCTGCACGCGCGCCGCTAAACCCACCTATCAGCTGTTCCCTCAATGCAAGAAGAAGCCGCAGCAACAGCAAACACACAACAGCCCTTATCACACCCACAAATAACGCCGCTGACAATCACACCCACATGGAAGCTACACATCCCGCGTCACAAAAATGCACTGACCATGTATAAGATGCTCCCCCCCCCCCAATTTTTAAATGTTCGTTTTGAGGGGGGAAACCTCGTCTAATACATGGGAAAATATGGTAGTTGAGGAGTGGCACACCAAAGCAGAGGGGGTGGGGAGCTCAGTCGGCAGAGTGTAAGACTCTTCATCTGAGGGCCACGGGTTCGAGCACCATGCTGGGCAAAGGGATTCCTGCATTGCAGAGGGTTGGACTAGATGACCCCTTGAGGTCCCTTCCAACCTTACGTGTCTATGAATTCTATACACTTTCAAGCAAAGGGAAGCAAAGGGGCAGTCAGCTCCATATATAGCAATTCTTTCTTCTACTAGCTTATTAATCATGAGACATGCCCACTTCTCTTCCTGCTTGTTCTCAAGATTTATAGCAATATTTGCTGCACACACCCTGTTCCCATTCTCCCCTCGCGGTTCTTTTCCAAGTGCATCCTTCCCTTCCCAACCTTCGCTCGCTCCGCCCTCCTCACATACATTTCAACTTTTGATTTCATCACTTGTATAATTTCTGCAACAGTTCCTCTCCCACCCTCAAAGCAAAGGGAGGACCTGTTCTTGGACACTAGTTCCGTAGTGTTACAGGTTTGAATCCGCACAATGGGGTGAGCTCCCGTTGCTCGGTCCCAGCTCCTGCCAGCCTAGCAGTTCGTAAGCACACCAGTGCGAGTAGATAAATCAGTACCGCTGTGGCAGGAAGGTAAACAGTGTTTCTATGTGCTCTGGTTTCCGTCACGGTGTCCCGTTGCTCCAGAAGCGGCTCCCAGTACGTTTCCGAGCCTCAGTCCAGTATACCTGAAGGAGTTAATCCACCTCCATCATTCTGCCCGGACACTGAGGTCCAGCTCCGAGAGCCTCCTGGCAGTTCCCTCGCTGCAAGAAGCCAGGTTTCAGGGAACCAGGCAGAGGGCCTTCTCGGTAGTGGTGCCCGCCCTGTAGAACGCCCTCCCACCAGATGTCAAAGAGAAAAATAACTACCAAACTTTTAGAAGACATCTGAAGGCAGCCCTGTTTAGGGAAGCTTTTAATGTTTAATAGGTTATTGTATTTTAGTGTTTTGTTGGAAGCCGCCCAGAGTGCCCAGATGGGCAGGGTATAAATAATAAATTATTATTATTAATTATTATTATTATTATTATTATTATTATTATTATTATTATTTAGTCCTGCTGGCCACATGACCCAGAAAGCTGCCTGTCAGCCTGGAAGTGAGATGAGTGCTGCAACCCCAGAGTCGCCTTTGACTGGACTTAACCGTCCAAGGGTCCTTTACCTTTAGTATTACTGGGCCAGGTGGAGGGAGGTGGGGAAGGTCCAGATTATATCTGGGGGTCCCTTCCAGGCCCACGATTCTATATCCGTGAAGTTTTTAGGAGAACCTGTTGAAGGGGCCAAAGCAGTTTCCTCATGATGCTAACTGGCTCCAGCTGAGCCAAGCTAAACACCTTCACCTGCACTGTTGCCATGGAGACAGGGGGTGGGCCTCTCCCCACATCACCTAGGAAGGAGAAAAAATTGGCTGGGCTGGAAGCTGGGGTGGGGGGCTTCCCGATCTCTACGTCCAAGCAGCTGCTCCCCGCACCCCCAAAAAATCAAGCAAATAAATAAAAATGCTTAACTATCTGACCAATTGCATCACAGATAACTTGTTCTGTGCCCCCTGCAATAAATCCTGGCTACATCCATGCCTCCTTTGGTTTCCAGCAACGAGCTATATGCGTGTGTAAATAAATCCATCTTCTCTAAAGACAAGACCGTCTCCCTTGCCCTTCAGTCCAAGGAAACTGAGCCTGGACTGGAACTGTGGAACTCCCTGCCACAGGAAGCAGTGATAGCCAACAACCTAGATGGCTTTAAAACAGAAATTCATTGGAGAAATTCATGCGAGGAGGAAGAGAGGGCTGCCGATGGCTTACTAGCCACAATGGCTCTGCTCTGCCTCCACAGCTGGAAACAGAAATGCTTCCAGTTCTCAGTTACAGTGCTACCTTGGTTCTCACGCTTAAAGTCTGTTCCAAAACCAAAGTGTTCCAAAACCAAGGTGTGCTTCCCCATAGAAAGTACTGCAAAATGGATCAATCCATTCCACACTTTGGAAAACAACCCCCTAAAACAGCAATTTAACATGGATTTTACTATCTAACGAGACCACAGACCCATAAAATGAAAGCAATAAGCCATGTGCTGCAGTCACACAATCAATCAGTGGCTGAACTGGGTTCCACACAGTCACACAGACACACACAAAAAGAGCCGCAAAAACAAGAACGCAAAATAAATAGCCAAAACGGAAACCTCAGCATAACACTCAAAATGGAAGTGTGGCGCTCAGCATGGAGCATGTTTGGCTTCCAAAAAAAGTTCACAAACCGGAATACTTTCTTCCGGGTTTAGCAGCGTTTGGGTTCCAAGTTGTTTGAGTACCAAGGCAGTTGAGAACCAAGGTCCCACTGTGCTGGAAACCACAGGAGGGGAGAGTTGCTCTTGTGCTCAGATGTTGCTTGCGGGTTTCCCATAATAGGCATAATAGGTTGGCCACTGTGAGAACAGGATGCTGGACCAGATGAGCCCTTGGTCTGATCCAGCAGCACTCTGCTTACGTTCTTACATTTATCCAGGACCTTGGGAAGACACTCTCTGAAGGCCAAGTGGAGTTTGCACAGACCTTGCAGAGCGAGTCCAGTTGGTGGAGCTGGAACAATGCCTGTTGTTCACACACCCCTTTTTGCTTAGCAAAAGCAGCAGGACTGGCCCCTCCTGCTTCCTCTATCCGTGCAGCCTAGTGACTCCTGGGGGGGAATGGCTCAGCCTGGCGCACAGGGAGCCAGGAGTCTCCTCCAAATGCCCTTCCGGCTGCAAGGGGCCGTCCCAGGCTGCAGGTTGCTGC